ATTATTATTATTATTATTATTGTTATTGTTATTAGGGTAAACCAAAAGTTCGTGTATTTATTGTGTTGAAACCGTACTTTGAAATTACATTTGCAAAACACTGTATTTGCAAAATTTATTTTGGAAATATTAATTATTAATTATTAATTAATATTATTATTATTTAAAAATATATATATATATATATATTATACTTATTGTCTTCAATTTTGTTTCTATTTATATTTGAATATTACTAAATACTATATTTATTAATCCCATTTAATTTTCATACTTATCACATTACTAATATAATTATATAAAAATATAATAAATAATAATTAAACATTTATAATTATATATTATAACAAATAATTTCTAAAAACAGTAATCATTACAGATTAATTCAAATTAGTATCGATCTAATTGTAAAGATTTCAAAAGGATAACATTCGATTGAGATTCTTTTTATCCATGGTTTGTTTCTCCCAGGACTTTACTATCTTCGTCATCCTGTTTAAGGTTACTCATCCGTATAGGGAGCGAGAATGAGCGTAGGTTGGTAGTAGTARTACTTACTTGAGAAAGGAATATATGTAACCAAAGCGAGCATTCGTAACGACCAAGTTCGTCTCTAATCGTAAGGAACGAGTACAACTTCGACTAAACTTTTTCTTCTTCTTCTTCTTCTTCTTCTTCTTTCATCACACACATATTTACTATCACATATACTTTCACATGTACTCGCATTTCTTTTTTTTTTATTCTATTGGACACGTTCCCCTAGATGTCACCAATATATAGCACAACGTAAATAAATCCGTAGTACTCATACATTAACATTCATATACATATAGAATACACAATCATACATTCATACATATATGTTTCTTCTTTAACCACACACATATACTCACACATACACATTATTTTTTTCTTCTTTCTCTCTATTGGTCATGCTCGATATCACCAATATAAATACATTCATACACACATATGTACAATCATACATTCATACACATATATGTGTACAATCATACATTCATACGTTAATACAGATGTATTTAGGTGTGTATGTATATATATATATATAATATGTGGAATAAAATACATTTAAAAAGAAATGACACGTATAGTATGAGCTAACCTATACGGAGCACATCCGGTCGTGATTGGGAGTCAAGAATACACGCGAATTACACGTCGGCATTGTGTGTAGTAAAATGACGTATAGTAAGCCGCGTAGTACGCGTAAATGCGAGACAAGACACCACACCATAAGCCACACTAGTTTCATTCTCGAAGGACATGCCCACTCCACCTACACTTTTTTTCAAAGTAATTTCTTCACGATCACGCAGAATCCTTCATACCCAATCTTTTTTTTCTTCTTATTCATTTCATTCTTATCCTACGTTTATCTCCATCTTTATCTTTCATTCTTTTTTTTCTTCCTTTTTTTGTTATCATTCATTTTATTTATCTATCTTTATCATTTCACTCTTCTCTCTCTCTCTCTCTCTCTCTCTCTCTCACACACATACATTCTTATATTCAATATTTGTCTATTTTTATCTTTAACTCATTACGTTAATCTATCATCTCTATTTCTACTTCTTTTAATTCGTTGGTTTACTCAACTCTATTTGCAAACCCGTTTCTATACTTCACCAGGCCCTGTGTCAAATAAAAATACTAGAAAAGTTACTAAAAAAGTTTGCTAAATTTATACAAAATTGTTTACATTTTTGAACAATTTTTTACAAAAAAAAAAAAAAATACTTTGTGTCAATAATTTAATTAAATCGAATGTAAAATAATTTTTTTTATTAATTAATTTAAACATTAACACATAATATATATTATGTAATATGTTATTATATTGTTATATGTATGTGTTAAATATTTAAATTACATTATGTTCATTAATTAATTACACTTTACATCACGCGGTGGAGGGTGGGGTACTTCGTACAGTTCGTACACCCCTGTTTTAATTTATTTTTGATATAATAGATTCCTTTTTAAACTAGATGATAGAGATGATACAAAAGTAACTATTCATGAATCGATTTTAAATTATGAATTTATTCTGAACAAATTCTGATTTCGTGTGAAAATCTTACACCGGAAACATTCTGCCATATTCTAACCTCTAAGATAGAAAAGTAAAAGCTCTGTTAAAGATCTATAAGGGATTCATCGATTTAAATGATTTCTCATGCCACCCGGTATCAGGAATTTGATCGATTCAAAGATGGTGACACCATTTTCAAAGGAATCCTAAACGTTAGCCATTTTGTCGGGACGTGTAAACTGTCTCGTATGACACATTCCTTTTTTTCCTAATGCCACGTGTTTACCAAAAAACGATCTTTCATTGATCCAATAAAAAACTCCTACCTTTACCTCTTTTTCTTAAAAAAAAAAAAATCCTAAAAAGGAAACCTTTAAAGGAAGTTTTTCTGATTTTTTTTTTCTTGGACAACAGAAATTTTGGAATAGGAAACCTAAAATTTCAATTTTTTAATCATTTCCAATATTCAAAATGTGTAAAATTGACACAAATCATTAATTAGAAGATTAATTTTCTAAAATCTTTTCTAAGCAAATTAAAAAAGTCAAAAATGTGGTGTCGAACACCGAGGAACAATGTGGAAGAGTTGTGTTCTGAGTTCCACCTCGTGCGAACGAACGAACGAAAGCGAATGGGACCGGACTCGACCGAGCTGCCCCTGAGGCCAGTGCCGGATCCTCTTGTTCAAGTACCCAAGGTCATCATTGCATAGCTACTTACTTGTAGTATACTTATGTACCTTCCTTTTTCTACCCCCGAGTGTAATAATTCGTGAACGTTCTCACGAAACGTTTCTTCCTTTCGATATCGTGCGATCATCCTACTCACGTGCCTTGTTCAGACGATTTTACTTTTCTCTCTCTTTCTCTTTCTCTCTTTCCCCTTCTTTCTTTTCTTCTTTTTTCTTTCTCTTTTTGTTTTGGAATAAATTTACAACTCGATGCGACGACGTAAAATTCCTTCACCTACCAAAGGGAAAAGCACATTTACGTTTCCCCATCTTTGTTTTATAACAAAACGTTAACAATCGCATTACAATAACAATAAAAATAATCTCTAATATCAAAGGAGACAAAATCTAAACGATTTGTAGAATAATGTGTAATAATATGCGCACACGTAACAAGCAACAGGTTTCACGCCACGTTGTCACTTCTAACATTTCGCGTGGTATTTCAAACGTCATCGAAAATTGTCACGACGAAATAAATAACATTCCCACGAATCTTACAAGATCCATCACTCCTTCCTGTAAATAGAAAGAAGAAAAATATAAAAAAAATAATTGATAATGGAAATTGCGTAGGAGAAGGGTGACCGATGGAATAAGAGACGTCCCTGAAAACCGAACGACGAAGGAAGGTAGCAGCGGCCCTGTTATAGTCGAGCAGCTCGAACCAGTGGTCCCCTTTACACGATGCAAAAGACGATGAGACGAAGAAAGAGAAAGAGAGAGAGAAAGACCGATGGAAATGAAGATAAAGCCTCTCTAAGAAAGGAGAAAGAAAGAAAGAAACAGAGATAGAGAAAGATGAAGAGAGTAAAAATCCCCTCTCAGCCCGTTCACCGTCTCGAGCGATCAACGAACTGGCGCCGATATTGGAAGAACCTAATGGTGGGGGGTGTTCAGTCGGTCTCGTCTCGTGGGCGATGGTGGTGGTAGTAGTAGTGGGGGGGAAAGAATTGAGTCTGTGTGAGAGTCACGTGACTGGCCGGCTCGACTCTGGCGCCTGGCTGGTGGGGGCAGAGTCACGTGATTAGCCGCCGCCTCTGGCGCCGAGCGGGTAGTGGGGGTAGGGAAAGTGGCAGTAGAAGGGGAACATTGTACGAGCCGTTACCGTCGAGTCGGCAGCGTCGAGCATTAAGACCTGGTAAGTCGCCAGTGTCAGGTCGTAAGAGAAACATAGTGTCGTGAGTGAACAAGGACGGAAGCACGCTTTCGCATCCGTCAAGAGACATTTAAATATCCACAAGGGCTCATCGAATAAAACATATAGGCTCTGCAAGTGTGTTACCTTCGACCATCACCCAACGGAATAATTGTCATTCCTTCGTTTATCTGACAACGATTTGATTTTTTTTCTAAAATCCATCATCAATTTAACAGACAGAAAACAACACGTGCCTTCAATCCGTTCTCATATTCATTCATATACATATATATATTGAGAGAATAATTCATATATAACTCGTATTATTTATTTCATTGATAAAAAAAAAGAAAGTAAGAAAGAGAGAGAAACATATATATATATAAAGAGAGAGAAAGAGAGTAAATTTGAGGAAGAGACAGAGAGGACGACGTTCGAGGAAAAGATCAACGGCCGAGGATAGCAGAGGTTACATATACGTCTACTACGGGTACATACCTACTTACATACATACATATAACTATCTCTCTCTCTCTCTCTCTCTCCTCTCTTTTCTTCTCTCATTCTATTGAGAAGACATCATCCATCGTTCTCGACGACCAGAAGAGACTAACCCACCCAAGAAAAAGGATACTTACAAAAAAAAAGGATTTATTATATCCGTCAGAAATTGTCATTTTCTTCTATACGGAAGAGACTAAGAAAAACAAACGACAAAAAAAAATAACTAATATAAAGCATATATATTATTATTATATATATATATATATCTCATACAACGTCCTAGTGTGTCTCGTATTTATTTTCTTTTTTTTTTTTTTCTTATACAATATACATATATACATATATATGTATGTTTCAATTTATTTGTTCATCGGTGGACAAATAATATTAAATCTTCGAACAAATATTCTGTTTGTGCATAAATCGATATAATCTTACACTAATTAACATTTGTGTTCTATTCGTATATATATATATATATATATACATCATCCCCCAGGTGTTTACCAAAGACTATAAAAAAAAAACGTTTATATATATATATATTATTATTTCTTTAATTTTTTTTTTTGCTAAACACGCATAATTATTATATTTCTTTCGATTTTGCGTGTTATTAATAATACAGTGATAATCAGTGTGTAATTATAAAGTGCGACCATTTAAAAATCGGCAAGACAAAAATCTCGTTGCAAGATAAATCTCGAATAGAAGAAGTTTAATATCCTTAAAAAGACTGGGAAACTCAATACTCTTTACTATTATTTCACTTCTGTTTAAATCCGTTCAATTATTTAATTTGTCTTAATCACAATTTATATCTCAGTAAAGACAAAAATTGCAACAAAAAGAAGAAAAGTACATACGAATGATAAAACAAAAACAAAAAGAAGAAGAAGAAGAAGAAAGAAGATAAAACAAATTTGTAACATTTCATTTTGTCATTTGAAAATATCACAAATCCATAAAAGACATTTGAGAGATTAACTCACATACGAGTTCAATAATTTTGAGAAGAAACATTTTCTTCTGTGCAAATATTGTTTGTCGAACTTAATTCAATTAATTCAATTAATCATGGATCTACTTTGTTGCGAACGATCAACCGAAACCGAGTGCAGGGCTTATGCCGATCCAGCTTTGATTCAAGATGATCGAGTTTTACAGAATCTTTTGAAGACGGAAGAAATTTATGTACCTAACAGATCATATTTTGAGTGCGTACAGAAAGAAATCTCACCACATATGCGCAAAGTTGTTGCAGAATGGATGTTAGAGGTAAGTTCATTCAAAATTGTCACACATATAGTCTTTTTTTAACTCATTTCCGGTACACGTGTACACTTATTTTATCTTAAACAAGTTTGACGATTCATTTTCATCAAAATTAATTCATTGTAACTGCGAGTAGTCCAATTACAAAAATTTCAATCAAAAAAAAAGCATTTATTATATGAGTCTAATAATAATAATAGTAATAATAATAAAAATTGTTTGATTATATATATTTCAATTATAATTTATTAAATATTATTATATTAATATGTAATATTAAATTTAATTTTATATATTAGTAATATTATATTTATTAAATATTATTATAATAATATATAATAATAAATTTAATAATTTTTATATATTTAATAATATTATATTTATTAAATAATTAAATATATTTTTTACAATTAATTTAATAAATTAATCAGTTATTATAATTATCTTTTTAAATTAATGAAATTATCTTCTAATATAATAAGGAAGATAATTGTTTCGATCTTATATATATATATATATCGATTCTTTTTTTTCTTCTTCTTGTTCGTCTTCTTCTTCTTGAAGTTGGTGTTCGGTCACTTCCGTTACAAAATGGACACCGTCTCTGAAGCAACAACACCATGCTTATTTAGTAGAGAAACACTTGATCTTTTTTACGTTTTCTATATTTGTCTAAAATGTTGACAACTCTCATGACGATTCGTGGTAAACTAAAGAATGTATGAATGTGATTCTCCGTGCGAAACTAAAAAAAAAAAAAAGAAACTAAAGAAAGAAAAAAAAAACAACAAAACGATAAATGACGTTTGCGGTTCTCTTCATTTTTTTTTCTTACGTTGTTTTATTCGAGATTTTATTTTTTTTTTTTTTTATTCTGCTTAAGGTTAAATGACCACATTTTCGTTTCTCATTTATGAGGTTAAGAATCTGCTTTGCTAAATTCATACGGAAGTGTTTTTCTAGTTGTAGTAGAAAATGGTGATAATAATTTTAGTAACTTACTAGATTTTCTTTGAAATATCGTTTGAAAAGATTTCATTCCTTTGTTTTTTTTTAATGTTACTAACGATGACAATTTATTTTATTTTTGTATTACATTCATTTATTTAAATAGTAGTGTTATTGTAGTTACAGAAGAAAGTGGTGATAATAGTTTAGTAACTTAGTAGATTTTCTTTGAAACACTGGTTGAAAAGATTTATTTATTTTTTTAATGTCACTAAAGATGACAATTCATTTTATTTTTATATTAAATTTATTTAAATAGTAGTGTTTTGTTAATAGTAGAAAAAAATGGTGATAATAGTTTAGTAAAACTTACTAGATTTTATTTTGAAGCACTGATTGAACAAATTTATTTATTTTTTTTTTTAATGTTACCAACGATGACAATCCAATAATCTTACCAAAATGACATTTTATTTTTATATTTATTTAAATAGTAGTATTTTTCTAGTAATAAAAGAACGTGATGATAATAATTTAGTAACTTACTAGATTTTCTTCGAAACATCGTTTGAAAAGATTTAATTTCTTTTTTTTTTAGTGTCACCAACGATGACACTTCATTTTATTTTTATATTTATTTAAATAGTAGTGTTTTTCTAATTACAAAAGAAATTGTGATAATAATTTAGTAACTTACTAGATTTTCTTACGAACATTGTTTGAAAAGATTTAATTCTTTTTTTTAATGAGAACCAACGATGACAATTCATTTTACTTTTATATTACATTTATTATTTAAATAGTAATATTTTTCCGTTTCTAAGATTATTTTGACGTTTAATATTATTTTCACGTAGTGTTGTCATCTCTTTTCATTCAGTTAAATTCCAATATACGATAAGACAAGGAAGATATAGCATACACTGGCTAAGATGATTCGTTGACAAAATTCTTATCGCTGACGACAATCCTTTGCTTCTCTTTCCCCTCCTCCCTCCTCCCTCCTCCCACCTTCCCACCAGTCTATCTTTGGTCTCAATATGGTCGAAATAAAATTTTATTTCGATTATCACTAACTTTACCAAACTAATTTCTCAATCTTTCGATATTTAACTTCTTTTCTTTCATAAAGAACACGTTCATATTTTTTTATATTATTTTCAACGATTAGGTTAATTAATTTCTAAACGAATGAATTAAAATTAGATATTAATTTAGTCAAAATTTTCAAACGAATTTTAGAAAGAAAAAAATAACGTAGATACAATTAGTTCAAATCAAGATGATAAGTTTTAGTCAGATTAGATAGTCAAAAGTGATATTTAATTAAATGGAAACATTTTGATTTAAGGTAATACGATTGATTTTAAATTTATTTATTATATTTAAATTTATAATTAATAAAATCATACACGTATTTGTTAAACCATAATTGGGAAAAACAAAATCACGTGCAATGTAAAAAGTATTTTATTTTTTCAAATAATCTTCCAAACAAACCCTAAATTTTTATTGAACTAAAATTCAAAAAATAAAAAAAGAAAAAGAAGAAGAAAGTATAAACAAAGAAAGAAAATCATTACGTCTCATAATTTAAATATAAAATTCCTATCAAGAAGTTGACAACGTGTCCGGATTTCCTTCCGTTTACAAATATGGCAACAAATACATATATCTATATATGTATGTATTCCCTTTCCTTCCGTTCGAAACACTTCGTCCCATTTCCTTCTTTCCAACTCTCCTTTTAAAAAAAAAAAATAAATTAAAAAAAAATCAAAATAATGTGTGAATTTATAAAGAAAAAGGTGTAGGGTAGAGAAAGAGAGAGAAAGAGAGGTGGTTAAAAGAAGATAGTTCTCGTTCATTGGTTGCTTACTCGATGTCTTGGACATTTAAACTAGAGGCATTTAAAAGGCTGACTGGGGCCTGAGGCCAGGCACACACAGAAGAACACAGCACCCAGCCGCCACGTTACGTTGCCGGCGCTCGGCTGCGCGTCAGCAAATTCCACACTCAACTCGTACTCCTTTTCTCTCCTCGGCTCGTCTCAACTCGGCTTTCCTCGTCACACTCCGCCCCACTTCGCCGCCGTTCGTCTGTTCTCGCGTCTACTCGCTTTCTCCCTCCACTCCACTCCTTCTCCCCACTTTAACTTTTTCTTTTACTTCGTCTAAAGGCGGTCAGCCGAATCGTAACCTGTGTATATGTGTTGTGTTTCGGTGTGTGTGTGTGTGTTATAATATGTATATAACTTACTACGGTAATTCTTTCATTATTTTACGATATATATATATATATATATATTACATTTTCTGTATTTATTTATTGTTAATTTTCAATCAATTTGTTACAAGTTAAACCGGCGCCATGTTTGTTCTATTATTTTTCTTTCGATTAATTTTCGATTGTTCAAAAAGATTTTGAGTTTAAATTAATTTGTTTGATTTAATGTTAATTTTGTTTTTATAATTTAATAACAATGACCAACTTCATTTCTATTACGTGTCAATATAATTGTTATACGTTAAATCGTCGCCATGTTTGTTCATTTATTTCCCCTCTCTTTCTCTTTCTATTAATCTTCGATACTTTCTAACAAACGTAATAATCAAACATTGCGTGACACGTGAAAGTCTTTGATAATTGTAACCTCCTTTGCAATAAGATGTCACGCGAAAGAGATTTAATGTTAGACGAGCCGTGAAATGGATAGTTGAATGATAGAAAGAGAGAGATAGATAGATCAAATTGAAGATATAACTTTGCGATGTGTAATAGGATAAAGAGACAGACAAGGGACACACATAATACCTATATAAATATATATGTACACTCATATATACACATATATGTACTTTAAATACATTAGAAATTGCAACTTTCATTTTACGAAACACATCGTGGCTACGGAGTAATTGCAACGCTTGGTAGGTTCTTTAAGATGACCTTGAAGTATGCATGCGGCTTTATCCTCCCGACAAGTCTCGAACGTGACTTGATGTACATCGTGCTGTCTTATTTCACCATACGAATATCCCCATAGACTCTATGCGATTTAAGATTAGAGAAAATACAGTTAATGATTCATCGATCAATTATTTCTAATCATAGATCATCATTATTATTATTATTATTGATATTTAGAAATTAGGATATAAAAAGTATTAAATAATTCGTTCCGATTCCGTTCATTCGTTCGATTAAATAATCGATTATTACATGTATTTTTAATTTTTTTTACAATGGTGCATAATATTGGTTCAGTTTCATGAATGTTCCTTTGTTCAATCGGTTAATTTAGAAATAAGGTTATAAAAAAATGGAGTACCTCGTTCCAATTCCACTCGCATTCTTTCGTTTAATAAACGTATTTCTAAATGGCTTTAAAATGATGCTGGATAATGTCGGTTCAGTTTCATGAACGTTCCTTTGTTCAATTTAAAAATTAGGTTATAAAAAAAATGGAGTACTTCGTTCCAATTCCATTTGCATTATTTCGTTTAATAAACGTATTTCTAATTTGTTTTAAAATGATGGTTGACAATGTCGTTTCAGTTTCTTGAACGTTCCTGTGTTCAATTTAGAAATTAGGTTATAAAAAAATTCGAATACTTCGTTTCGATTTCATTTGCATTCTTTTGTTTAATATACGTATTTCTAATGTTTTTTAGAAAGATGGTTGATAATATCGGTTCAAATTTCATGAACGTTCCTTTGTTCAATCGGTTAATATAAAGTAGAAAGCAGGTAGAAAAAAGAGTAACGAGATCTCGATCAACTTTCTTCAAGGTTTTCTCGATACCATGAATATATATACTTCATGTAAAGTTGTATCTTTTTTTTTCTTTTTTATTTTATTTTTCTTTTTTCTTTTTTCTTTTTTTTTCTTTTATCGAAGAAACAGAATGTGTCGTTTCTCCTTTTACATCGAAGAAAGATTACCAAAGCTATACTTAAACGCAGCTTTCGGTTAATGTTTGAACAGATGCGCGATAATCGACGATTTCTTACCGATTTCGTGATCTTTCCTATTCAATCTCACTCTTTCTTTTTTCCTTTTATGTCAAAAAAAGGAATGACGAACGCGGAACATTCAGTTTGTAAAGAAACGTAACATTTATAAATACCGATGATCGGTTACAATGGTTTTTCTATTATTATTCATATTTTATACAGCATTTATACAGTTTTCATAATTTACTGTAATTTCAATTGATCAAACGTTCATATTTTTTATTATTATTCATATTTTATACAGCATTTATACAGTTTTCATAATTTACTGTAATTTCAATTAATTAAACGTACTATTTTTCATTATTATTCATAT